CGGCTAGATCCGGAAACGGCAGATTGAAATGGACCGGAGAAATGCAAGAATCATTTGATGAACTACGCATAAAGTTGAGTTGTCCGCCAGTCTTGGCTTACCCAGACTTCGAGAAGCCCTTCGTCGTTGAGACGGATGCTTCATCGGTCTCCGTCCGGGCTGTGTTGGCTCAAAAGAAGGAAGATGGGAAAATACACCCTATCCAGTACGCAAGCCGTACTATGAATACCTCTGAGCGCAAATACTCCGCGTGTGAGCGTGAGGCGCTTGCCGTCATCTTTGCTTTGAAGAAATGTCGCGTTTACGTGCTCTCGTCTACGCCTTTCAAGTTGGTTACTGATCACCAGGCTCTTAGTTACGCCTTTCGCAAAAAAGACATCTATGTTCGTTTGGCTCGTTGGCTAGACTTCCTGGCCGAGTACGACTTCACAGTAGAATATAGTCGTGGATCGCCAAACAGTGCAGCCGATTATCTTTCTCGTATTCAACCCAAAGCCAGCGACAGTCCTGCTTACCAAGAGGACGGAGAGCTTGCCCTTGCTATCACAACTCCATTCTACTCTGAAGAAGACCTAGAACTGTCTTGCAAAGATATCATGTCCTACCTGCAAGGCGAAACACCGGTTGGGTTGGATGATCACAGGAAGTCTCGCATGAAGAATAATGCGAAGAACTTTCTTGTGTGGGAGTCGAAGTTGTTCCGCAGCACCGTTCATGGTCTTCGTGTTGTTGCCCCAATTCCCGATCGCGAAAAGGTACTGAAGGGTTTCCATGACGACATTGGTCATTGGGACTTGAAGACCACTCGTCAATTTGTCACGGAAAGGTACTGGTGGCCGACCGTTTGTATGGACGTGGGAGACTACGTCAAGAGTTGTGAAGGGTGTCAGAAGGCACGTCCGATTGCCAGGTATAAGACAACTTTGCGCCTTCCCATCACAAGCTTGTTTGGTGTTTTCTCTATTGACTTTGCTGGCCCTTTCCCTGCCACTTCGTCCGGAAATCGCTTCGTGCTATTTGCGGTCGAACACCTCACAGGATGGCCAATTGCTCTATCCACTGATGATAGTACTGCTCAAGTGGCTCTTGACTTCGTCAAAAGAGAAGTCATGTACTCATACGGCCCTCCGCGAACCACTGTCTCTGACAATGCTACCTGCTTCACAGCCTCGGCTGTTTCTAGCTTCATGGATCAGCACGGTATCACTTGGCGCACCGTCCTCGCCTACGCTCCCATGTCTAACAGTAGAGCAGAGAGAATGGTTGGAACTTTGAAGGCTGCCGTCCGTAAGACAGTTCTTGGAACTGGAATGGAGTGGGACAAAGCACTCACCCAGGTCTTATATGGATATCGCCGACGTGCTATGAAGAACGGCGTGTCGCCCTTCGAATTAATGTATGGGGTCTCGCCTCGGATGGATTCCAGTGCAGAGACAGGTGCAAGCCTAGTTGTTCCTTCCTTAGACCATCATCGTCGTTTGGTGCTTCTGACTGGATCTGTCCCACGAGCGGTTCGCTCAGGGGCCTCTGTGGAAAATAGGCTCGTAGCGTCGTCGCCTCACTCCTTGGAAGTGGGAGACAAAGTTCTTGTCGCTCGGGGAACTTCATTCAGTGGTACTAAATGGCCAGCGTTCGTTTCCAAGTTCTATGGCCCGTGCCAGATCTTGGAAGTTCACCACCCGCGATACTTGCTAGAGTCGCAGCACAGCAGAGTATCCAGGAAGCCTATTCATGCTCGCCGACTCGTCCTGTATTGTGAAAGGAAGTTCGAAGCCAAAGTCCTTTGTTAAAGCTTAAGGCTAAGTGTTATGCATAAAATCGTTTAATGCATGTAGAGAATAGATGCAATAGCTATCATGAAACCCGTACAGGCAAGAAAAGAGAAAAGAACCTGGCTATTTCGACTTGTTGCTTCCGGCTATCAGCTTGCGACGTTTGCGACGCTTAGTGGAAGCGGTAAGCACTCTTGTGGTGGAAGCACGAACAAGACAGACCTTTCGCATTTCACGAATTTCGAGCAGACTAACTCCATCACCGAGACAGAGTTTCAAAGCTTGAAGGGAGAAGGACAGGCGGTACGGTTCCGTACAATCCAATTTGATATGATCCTTTGAAGATACGCACACCGTATGCAACTTGTTTGGACTACCCTCAAGGGTGACAACATACACTACCGACTCGACAGCAAGAGGTGTGCCTATCGTTTGGACCGATCCGAAGATATGCTTGAGAATTACTTCCTCTCGTTTGAGATGCTTGATGGCATCCCTCAGATCACGAATGCGTCGCGGAAGACTCCCATGCTGCACAAACGACTTCGCATTCTCGTTGAAGTGCTCCCAATACGAATCGGCGAGCTGTTGCCCGCCGAGAACACGCAACGAGTTGCAAACGGCAGCTGGGATGCATAGATCAGTCCGATCTCGATAGAGGGTAGCACCAAGGTTGTGGAGGTGGAAAGAAGACGCCAAAGAGCTCTCTGATCGGGCACCGGAAGTGGACATTGCCAACCAACGCCCAGGATACTTCTGGCACCACTCATCAATGAGAAGGTAAGCTGACATGCGGTCTCTGCCGTTGGTGTAGAACTTGTCGTTCTGGATCTGATGGCCAGAAGATTTGTTCCCACCACAGATTTGTAGGGTATAAGGCAGAATGGGGTGCTTCGACTTGTGGCATACGTCGATGGCGACGTACTTATTTGCGAGTCTATCGTACCAGATAGACACAATGTTCCAAGCTTCGTCCTTCACGTGATCATAATCACGCTTATCTTCAATCGATTCAGTCAACCCGACTAGGGAAAAGTCATCAACCCAGACCCCGTGCTTTTCTCGCGCACTTAAGTGGACGAGAACATGCCGACCAAAAAGGCGGAGCATTTCCGTCAAATACAAGTCATACATTGTCAGCTTCGTTCCGACCCAAACATGGTACGGGAAACGAGGTGAAGCTTCTTCATTCTTCGACCCCTTCATTACGTCCGTTCTTTGCGACAATAGCCACGTTATCCTCTCACGAGCGTTGCGGTCTTCAACATATACTCTCGCCGCCCTCGACGCGAGCTGCTTACGAGGCGCCTCGCCGCCAGTACTGCGGCGCGCCGTCTGCTTGGTTTTCGCCATCCTCGTTAGATCAGGCTTCTTGCAAGGGGCAGACTCGAGGACTAAAACCTCAAACAGTGATTGGTTATTAAAAAGATTTTTCCTTCTTAAAAAGAACTGCGTTTGAATATTTCTTAAGCCGAATTTAAGCCTATTTATGGCTTTTAGACACAGGTCGCCAATTCTGGAAAGTATATTTATTCTTTGCGCACTGCAGCAAAGTGTGTAATTTTTTGTGAAACTGTGAAATTCACGGTTTCAAAGAGTGAATAATTCCTTGGAGTCATGATGTAGATCAATCTCCTCTACCTTTATGTCGATGAACTACAGATTCGACAATCTTGACCCATGAAGTGCGGAGGCAATGTCGCAGAAAGAGATTGCATATAGCTGGCATTTCAGAGATGCCAGCTATATGCAATCTCGCAGTCAGTCGAGCACATGATGCTCGGCAAGCGCTCGAAGAGGTGCTACACGGCAGTCCCATGGAGGTCTTGATGGGGCAAAAACTCCTTTACGTTCGACCGCGAGGGGTGCACAAAGGAGCAGCAGTGGCTGAAGTGTTGAGACGCTTCGATGTCGAGGGTGAGGCGCCGGACTGGGTTTGTTCTATTGGTGACAACCGAACCGATGAAGACATGTTTAAATAAATATATCGCAATGCTGACGGGAAGAATATTAGTGTTCACACATGTACAGTTGAACGGAAGAGCACTTCAGCCAATTAATACGTACAGCATGTTGATGAAGTGCGTAACTAGTTGGAAAGGCTCACACAAGTAGATGTAAATTCGCCTTGATGGGGCATAAAATATTTGTATAGGAAGAAGACATGGCATCTTCTCAGAGCCTGTCGCTTAATGTTTTAGTCTCGGCCTTGCCTCCCTCCTCTCACTCCGTCGCTTGCTCGTGCACACATTGTTCGGATCGTCTAGCCTGTTTGGCAGCCAACCGTTAACAGTTGGACCCCTTTACACATCTACCAGAATGCGATGGCCTCCTGACCTCATCCGGTTCGCTTCTCGCTATGCAATCTTCATATCGCATTCTCGTTCAAACTCAACAAATGCGTAGTCTCTCAAAACTCCCTCTCGATCTAATGGCATAACAGTTGCCACAGGGCCATATGCCTCGAATGCATCCTGCAATGACTTCTCCACCATGGTAAAAGGCAGATCAGCAGCAAACAGCGTGCAATACGCACTTTTTGTCTTTGCAGAATCGTCGCTTTTTGGGTCCCACTGGTCTCCTCTCGTTTTTAACGATTTCCGAGGCCTTCTTCAACGCGGCGTTCCGAACACGCCGCCTTCTTTGAGCAGGTGTTTCAAAGGGTGTCTCCGGCTTGCTCTCACTTTCATCAGCCATTTTCGTATCGAGGGGTTCGGGGGAGAGGAGAGGGGAAGAAGGTCGAGGCGGCGACGGCGTCTCGCGGGACAACTCTGCAGCTTCCATTGCGGCGGGGACCACTGCAGGACTTGAAAATGGATAAGATATGGGCGAGTGCAGTAATGATGCCGATAGGAACCGTAAATATCACCACCCGAATTCGCCCCTAGGGGTGAAGGCGGGAGAAGGAAGAGAAGAACGACTGGGGGAAGTGCAAGAGAGGATGGCAAGCGATCCGTTTTTGGGCGAGCGCAGGCTGTTCACTTGCCACACGCTGACGCGGCGTGGCACGTATGCCCGAGTCATAATACTGATCCATGGAAATAAATATCCTTATTACATAAAAAATCACATCCCGCTGCGCTGCGCCGCGCGCTGGTGTGCCGCGCGCTGGACACAGACCGCCCGCAGAGCGAGTGTACAAAAAGAAAAATATGACTATGACACAAAAATTAATTTTCGGAGACTCCCTGGGGGCTTGTCACCGCGCCCGCCCGCATCGCTTCGACCATGCCTGCTGCAGCTCCCGCCCGGGTAGCCCGCCCACCTCACCGACGCCCGTCCGTTTGGCGTCGCCCGCGCGCTTGCCATCGGCCGCCGGCGCGTCGGCCGCCGCTGCCGTATCTATACCGCTGCGCAAGTGCTACCGCCGCTCGCGACCCGACCGTCCACACCGCGCCCACCCCCGCTCCCTCCAAAATTGGCCTCCCTTTCCAGCCTGCGGTCGCAACGGCGCGTCCTCTGCTCGCCCGTGCCGCTCGAAGCCGTCGCGCTCCCGGCCTCTGTGCAGGCGTCCATCTCGAAGTGCCTCGTCGCCTCCAGGCTGACGCCGCGCCATCTGCGCAAGTCCACCAACCCCATGGACCGTCTGTTCGCGCACGAGCGCCGCGAGCTGCTACGCAGCGCCCTGGTCGTCGTCCGTCCGTCCGCCGACGACACAACGACAATGTCGCCCTTGCCCACGCCATCACGAGGGCCCCCGGAGCCTTGGCTCGAAGATTATGCATCATCGACGAGTCGCCCGACATGACGCCCCTGCTGCGACCGCGCTTTCACAGACGCAACCCCAACTGCCTCGCCACCGTCGAAATGGACTCGCCCAAGTTCATCATCCTGGACATCCGCCAGCCATCCTTGCCCGTCACCGTCATCGACCACCATTTGGAAACCTCGAAGAACTGCGTCAGCGCCATCACCTGGGGTCCGCGCTCGGCCGTCAGCCTCGCGTCCGGGGGGGGGGACGGCTGCCTGGCACTTATCTGGAACATCTCCAGCCTCTCAAAGCGCGTCGATGATCCGGCCCTGTCGCATTGCGCCGTTGCCTCCATTAGCAACTTGCAATGGGCACCTTCGTCCTCGGAATGGATCGCACTCACCGTTGAGGATAGGCTTCAGGCCTTGCGTCTGTGAGACACGCAACCAAACCTGAACTTTGCACGTGACTTGCTTCGTTGTACAATTGTACAATCAAGCCGGAAAACCTATCAAGTGAGCCTTTCGTTATTATGCTTTCCGTTGTCAAACACCCAATCGTCTCCCCCGCGGCCTTTCTCTTACAATAGTCGACTTTCACTGTCAAGGAATTGACTTGGTGAATAGATATATACAAAACGTTATTAGTTAATCGATATGTAAAAACTCCTGAGCTCCATGAAACCAGTTAAAGCCTCTCATCCCGGAGCTGATTCGGTCTTTAAACAGTCCTCTTCCCTGTCCAGATTCCCTGTCGGTGCCGGTGACGCTGAAGCTCTAGGTGTTGAGGGGTTGCTCGCCACCCCGACCGCAGTATCGATCTTGACAACTTCTTGTTCGATTCTTTTGAAGAAACCCGACAGTCCCGCCGCGGCCCGAAAAGAGACTAAACTCGACAGGCGCCCGAGATGGGCCACGTTCGGACGCAATCCGGACAGACTCGCTGCAACCCGGTCGACCTGTAGTATGGATTCATCCGCAGGCGACTCATACAGCTCTGGCTTTGTCGGAGGCTGGAATGTCATCCCCTGCAACGAGCAACGCCAAGGCCATTGCGCCGCATTCCTCGTCTTCATCTACGTCTTGACAAACTGCTTATTGTACAGCTCAAACGGTGAGACATTCATCTCGTCGACCATTTCAGAGCTCCAAGTTTCGCCGCCTAACGGTCCCCCGAGCACCCCCTCAACCGACGCCACCGATCGCAAAAAGCAAATTCAGGTACTCACGCAACCGTCTACGAATGTAGTCATCCAGCCCGACATACGCCCCCGACGACGAGACAGACGCGGATGACGTGCCCGCCGAAAAAGTCAAGTCGCGCATGAATCGCCGCTCGACGCACGTAATGCGACACAGCGGCTCGATACTCACCGACACCGACACCTTGCCCGTCGTCAAATTGACCAGTGCGTCCACAATAGGCACTCCGCCGTTCCGTGGAGGCTGTCTGGGCGCTTGGAACCGGGGACGGTTTCCCGGGCGTAGACAAACGACAAGTGTCTCCATTCCCCGGCGACGGCGTCGACGACACTGGGACAGAAGAGCTCTTCGAGCCGCGAATCGGCGTCTGCTACTTGGGCGTGGGCTTCCCCGAAGGCCGCGTCGGCGTGGAGCTAGACTTTTGCAAAAATGCGTGGGCAGTCTGCACGAGCGGAGACTCCGTCTTCGCGGCGGCGGCCTTCTTCCCGGCCGAGGCGGCGGTCGACGAGAGTTGCAAGCCCACGTTATGCGAGGTGCCTATACGGCAGGCCCTCCTAGATTGATTCGGAATGAGCTCTGCCACGAGCGGCAGTGGGGCGTACGGCTGGAGAATGACGCCATCGCCGTGTCCGAACAGGGCGAGCGGGAGGCCGAGGGCAGCGGAATCGGGCCCGTGGTCGAGCGGGGGTACGGCAGGGGCAATGGTATCCAGGGCGCCGATGATGTGTGAACACGGGGGAGTGTGCTCTTGGGATGAGGGTAGAGCACTCTGACTCAAATATGCTAAAAATATCACATTGCACTGTAGCTGCACTCCCAAATTATTCATTTTTCTGCTAGGGAGTTTAGCGCTACTCTCGTAGTCTCGTTCCGCGCAATTTCGCCATGTCAAACTGCGAAACTGTGGTTTGTGTTCTTGTTCAGTTGCGAGGAGAATGACTGAAGGCAACATTGTCCGGTGTCTGCCTCAGGTAGTTTTAGAAAAGACGAAGAAGGCGCCGTTGCCCTTGTCATTTTATAAAGGCTTGCAATCCGCGGTATCTTTTATCAATATTATGTCAGATCGAAGAATGGGTTGCAAGACGATATGAAGGATTCCATCTTTTAGATTTAGGAGAGAGCTTGTCCATGACATCTCGCGTATACGCGAGATGTCACTTTATAAAGTGTCCACGGCTTCCAGAAAATCTTGAAGACTACGAGGAACAGCAACAAACCCTCTCACGCGGCATTTGTCCGCCGCTTTCAACTGCAGCTTGCTGATGTAATGTAGGGTAGATGTAGGACCAAAGAGACGGCCATTTCGAAGAAATGGACTCATTTCTCCAATGCAAAGCACTTCTCCGAGCAAACCGCAACCATTTCTCGTAGCTCGACGCTTATGTTTCTCACGATTTTGGCCCAGTCACATAGGTCATGCATTCCTACGCCGCATGCTGTGCACGAAAACGAAGTTTTCAATCCCGGAAAGCGACAATGCTTCTCCCCAATCGCACAGAACATTCCTTCTTTCTCCTTTTCATTGTCGGTTTCCTTTATTCCTCTCCGAGTACATTGCTCCAGTTTCCTTCGCTTGAAGGCTTGGTCTTGAACAGATGCGACTAACCTCCTTTTTGCCGCTCTGAAAATTTCCGAGTCATGTTCTAACGCGACGTATTGGATACCTAAGTCCAAACATGCCAAACCCATGGACATGGAGCCTGCTCTAGGATTATAACAGATACCTGCAGGTTTGCACCACTGCTCGAGAATAGATACACTGAGATCCTTTTCAATGTCTCTAACTTTAAGGATTTTGCCTTGTTCACAGCAGAGGGGATTTCGCGATTGTTGTACGTTTGTGACACAGTTCACCCACGACGGAAGAGTTGAGCTTCTGTAACCTTTTGCATATGAGTAATGATGCTTTTGCCTGCGATCTGGGGATCTCCAGAATACTGCTGCGATGAAGCCTGACTCTTGCGGGTGCTGTGATAATGTCTTTTTCTTGATTGTTGACGGATCTTGTATTTAAAGCATGGGATGCTTCATCATTTCCATGCCCTCTGCACATACAACTGAAAAAAGCTTGGAGAAGTGAATAAAATTGCACACGATATAGCACACGCCGCTCTGTTTCATCGCCATACCGCAGTGACGTACAACCTGTTTCAGGCAGTTCTCATTAGATTCATCATCTTGTAGAACAGTCATGACCATATCGGCTTTCCCCTGCACCATTTTCCACTCATTGTGTTGTGTCATGAAGTCCTCAAGTGCAGCCTGTACAATCTTCCACCCAACCGGTAATAATTGAGATGCCTCAATTACTGACGCTGCCTCTGCACCTGATTCAACTGGTCTCTCATTGTGCCGTTCACAGGGCCCGCCTGAGTATTGAATGTGCGATGAGAGGGATGCTTTGGCCGCAGAGTCCTCCTCTTCACCGTCTTTTGAGCTTCCATTCTCTGAGGTACCTGGAGATGATAGTTCTGAATCAATCGCAGGATGTTTATGTGTATCTGAGTGCTCACTGTTCTCTTGAGGTATTTGTTGCAATCTTTTTCGGGCGATTTCCAAATGGTTAGTCCCATTTGGCACCAGATTTCTGCAAGCAGTTTCAAGTGGTTGTATAAGGTGCTTGCTGAACGCATGTTCCTGCATTTGGATATCCAGCAGCTGCGTACACGTCATTCTTTCTGCAATTGTGGTGATCTCATTGGGGATTTCGTCGTAATCACAAAGGGTTTTGAATTTTTCAAGCTCTTGAATTGCTTGGCGTAACTGCACCAACTGTGTCGAAACATCTTTGGGGAGAAGCGGCTTCGGAGAAGGCAAGCAATCTTGATAATACCTGATAAATCGTTTCACCAACATTAAATATTCCTCTGCCGTCACTCTTTTGGGAATTGCTCGCAAATTTGCCAATGTGAACGCAACTTGCAAGCCTCCATCATCATTGCACATGAAATCCCGTAAGTAGTCAACTGTAGAAATGGGAAGCTTGCGAGCAACTCCCAAGATTTGGCGCTTGGTGTCAGTCTGTTTGCTCATAACTTTGTCATCCTGAACCCCTCTTGCAGTACTTGACACCAGGCGATGGGCAACTTCGGTCGCTGATAAACATTTTTGCCGCCTTTGGCTCAACCAGGTATTCAGTTCAACGTCGTATTCGTGGCAGCGTAGGAGCGTTGCGAGGAAAGAGAGCGGGACACAGAAAGAGTGAAGAGCATTTCTCGAAAGTCCATACGCAATCTCATCTTGGGCTGGCATCGACATTACCAATTCACCTTTCAACTTGAAATCCTTCATCAAAACCCCGTCCTCCATTAGCTGTACCGCTACTCTTTTGCGGATGTGTCCATCATAACAAAAGCGATACCCTCCAGCGCGTCCATCTGTTTCTTCTCTTATCACTGCTCGTGCCACTTCTGATGCCTTTCCAGGCGTGTAGCAATGTGGCTCTCTCTCAAAGAGTAGCTGTATTTCAGGAACAGTAGCCACTCGACATGATATGAGATAAGTGCCGATGTATCCATTTTGCAGAAACCCTTCTCTGACAATATCTTCATCTTGAGGAAGAATTGGCCTGGAGTACCAGAGATTGACAATTTTACGCGAATCGACGTATTCAGTCACAGTATCACTCGTAACCTCACTTCCTGAAACCTTCATGACTGCAAGACTTTCTGCCTCGCTTTAGTTGCAGGATTTGGCTATCGTAAAAGGCAATGCCGCGAGTCTTGTGACTTCAGCAAAGGCTTCGGGTACGGGGCAATTGTTTAGAATGTTGTTTTGTGTAGGCACAAAAACCATCGCAGGCGAATGAGAGAATCACCGCTCATTCCGAAGATTTGAACATTGAGTTCAAACATTTGAACAGATCGATGGAATGTGAGAGTTTCGGAAAGGTTAGGGGTAAGGCAGATGATATAGATATCAGTCACCCACTTGAGCAAATTCCTGTTGCTCTACCATGATTTCGCGTCTTTTGACGAAATGTTTTGCTTAGGAATCGCAATACTTGCTTGGTAAAGGCAAATATTTGTCACTGTCAAGGCATTTGACAGGCGTAGAAAAGGACTTTGATAAACAATTGGAAGTGTAACCTTCAGAAAAAAATTAAAAGCACAGCAGAGGAATCTGATATAGTTTCCTGACGTCTACTATTTTGAAAACAGACCACAGTGATCCGGGCAGCTGACTTTTGGCTTCCAGCCGAATACCAGTACAGGATATGTAGTCGTTCGGCTGCA